CTGTTTAAATCTAGATTAAAGACACATCTCTTTGGCCAAGCATTCAAATAATGCATCTCATAATCTTGTACTGCAGTTATATCTGATCAAATGCACATTATTATTCTTTAGTTTGGGTTAAACAAATCAATTTTGCTTGGTTGGAACAGCAGCTACGCTAATTATGTTTCTATTTGGTTCTCTGTTTTTTGCCACGGGATTGACATCCCGTGGTAACTAGGATTTACACAAGCTTCAGTCCGGATCCAGAACACCTGAGAAGAGATGATGCCAACCCTTCAGAGGACCTCTGATGATGCCAACCCTGAAACAACTTACAGAACTACCACATTTTGCTATAAGTTTGATTGCATCATATAATAATTGCTGTTAATAGTGTTCATCGTCTGTTTTATTACGTCTTAAATTGATTTTTCCGTACTGCTTGTTCGTCTGGCCAGAGGAGAACTGGCCCCCCGACTGAGCCTGGTTTCTCCCAAGGTTTTTTCTCCATTCTGTCACCGATGGAGTTTTGGTTCCTTGCCGCTGTCGCCTCTGGCTTGCTTAGTTGGGGACACTTCATTTCCAGCGATATCGTTTACTTGATTGCAAAGATACTATTTAAACTGAGCTGGATGTTGACATCACTGAATTCAATGATGAACTGTCTTTAACTGAAAAATGAGTGTCTACTATAGTCATTTTGCATTATTGACACACTATTTTCCTAATTAATGCTGTTCAGTTGCTTTGCCACAATCTGTATTGTTAAAAGCGCTATATAAATAAAGGTGACTTGACTTGACTTGACAGATCCCGATTTGAACACTATATGTGAACGTTATAATAAATGTATTAACAGAGCTGTTGTAATGATTATTATCATTATTATTGTCTTACTTTTTACTGTATTTTTTACAGAACAACAGTAAAATTACAATACTAACATTTATGAATGCCGGAGTTCTTGTTTTGTCAACTTTTATTTTGGCGGAAATGCGCAGGAAGACCCAAGCGCTTCTTTTTGTTGTCAACAGCAGATTTATAAACGAGTCTCATTACAAATACGTCGCACGTATCGCATTGTCACATGCATTGTAAAAAAATCATAAAAATGTGACGAGTAACAGTGCTTTTTCGGTGCATCCCTAAAGCGAACGTAACTCACCTCGGCGTCTCCTTCGCTGGAGTCCATCGATAACCGACCTGCTCAAAGAGGGAAATCACACCAACATTACAGCACGAACACTGATGAATCAAAGATCGTATTAGCTCTTCAACACATGATTTAATGAACGTATAGTGACCTTCTCCAGCTGTGAGATAGCTAGCGACAGCTTCTGATCGAGTGCCATCCTGAAACAGAGAAGCGGTTTAAAATGACCGTGTGCAGAGCTTGGAAACAACTAATCGACTATTCAACTAAGAATACCTGATCTGGCTGGTTTATGAACCCTGACGTGCTTCACACTGGACATTTACATCAGAAAGCTCAAAAAGGAAACAAATGCAACTATCTGTGCCTTTAAAACCAGTCCATATAACACAACAGTAGTCTGTTGTTGGTCCTTTTATTTAATTACTTTACATTTTCAGCCCCGAATCACTCCAATTAATACGTGCAAATTCACTGGAGGAACCATTACTCTGGATTATGGAATCGTATTTTGGCCAAAAGCAATGAACTTAAAATGTCTTGATGGATTTGTTGGCTTCACAAGACGTTAACTGATGGACTGGAGTGCTGTGGATTACTTGTGGATTATTGTGATGTTGTTATCAGCTGTTTGGACTCTCATTCTGACGGCACCCATTCACTGCAGAGCATCAAGTGATGCAATGCTGCATTTCTCCATCTTAGATGGTGTAAGGATGAGTGAGTTTTCAGCAAAGAATATATTAAGCACAACTTGTACCACATCCTGCCGGATCTTCACTCGGACTTGATTGGCTCTTCGTTTGGCACTTTCTATCCGCTCCTCTAATGAAGGCGAGGGGTTTCGAGACTGTTCCTCCAGAAGGTTCTGCACAGAGAGAGCATCATTAATGACGGGTCTGAACACGACTCAACACATACACCAGAGAAGCACTGATCTGATACCTGCAGCTCTGCCTCCTCCTGCTCCAGCATCTTTCGCAGGATTTCTGTGGCGTGTTTCTGCACCTCAGGGTCCTGCGAATGATGGAGAGAAATGGCATTTTATTTTTTTTTTCATTCAGTTTTATATTTCCCAAATTCAATGTTTTCCGTTTGATTTATTTTTTCTTTCTTTCTGGAATTCGTTTGAATGTTTTAAAGGCAGAATCTAAAGCCATTTCATGCATTCTGACTAGGGATGTAACGATTCACTCAACTCACGATTCGATTCGATTATACAGAGGCAAGAGGAAAAGAAAAAACACCACTGAAAGACAGTTAGTTCCCCTCAGACATACATTCATATAAACTCCTACCCCTAACTGAATCGCGATTTGTTTAGCATCTCGACCGATTTGAATCATCACATATTTAAATCGATTTTCAACCGGCTCGCGGTTAATCGTTACATCCCTAATTCTGACTTATTTACACTGTTAAAGAGTACTCCTCTATAGGTACTCAAGATTAACATGAGATTGGCAGAAACTGTGTGTGTTATGTCCCCTTTATTTAAATTTCATAATAATCAACTGAATTCATAAAACTTTAACAATTTAATCACTTATTAAAATTGGATCAATAGTAGTGCCCTATGAAATGTGTTGTTATTATTGTTATTTTTTTACTTTTTTTTTCCTCAAAAATTCTGTGTTGCTTGTTCTATTTATTTATTTTGGATTCCATTTTAATTAATTAACTTTTTAATAATCAAAATGAATGTCCAATTGATTAAATTCATAAAACTTAATCATAAAAATATTTTAATTTAAATAACTAAATTCATACAACATTAACAATCTAACCATTTATTAACATTATAACGATAAGAATACCCTATATTCTTTTTTTTTTTCCCTCAGTTTTTTTTTCTCATTATTCTGGGGTTTTATCATTTTTTGGATTCCATATTAAGGGTTTAATTAAATTAAATTAATAATTAAGGATTTCATTTTTCAGTTTATTTTTTTAAACTTTAACAATTTAACCATATATAAAAATTGTATCAATAATAGTGTAACAGCGTGTTAATAATGAAAGGTGTTATTCATTTCTGAAATTCTGTGTTGTCAGTTTTATTTTGTCTGGATTCTGCGTGTTAATAAAAACTTCAAATCAAATAAAATTGTAACAATCCTTTAATTTGTTGTTACAAAACAGAGGTTTAACATTTAAATTAAAACACTGACAAAAATTGTGTGATACTTCCTCAAAAATAATGTATTATTATTATTATTACTTTGAGCACGTTCTGCTGTACAATAGTAATATATTTTCTGTCATAATTTCTTCAAGTTAATCCGAACTTTTATTTTGGCGGGTTGTAGAAGATCTTTAAGTTTGTGCGCGCATATCTCAAATGAAATGCTGGTGAGATGATTCTCAGAGCAGCTCAGGAGATGAAGTAGTAGACGAAACCATGCCATTCATTCACACAGAGACACGCAGTCTGTTTGCGCTTTAATACTCACTGGCAATAGTCCATATAGCCGATTGAGGGCCCTACAACTCTATGTTATAGTCAATAAAAGTTTTAAAAACATGGCGCACCTGTAATGGTTTGGGTCCTGTAATTCTCTGAGTCGGGGTGCTGCTTCCTGTGGGTGGAGTTGGTGGAGGAGGCGGGGCTTCACCAGGTGCTGTCCTGTGATTGGGCAAGATCAATGTAAAATGTGATAATCGTAATTAATAATCGCAATTACAATTTCAAGGGAATAATCGACAAGTATGATTTTTGTCATAATCGTGCAGCCCTAGTTATCGGTCTACTTGATCTGTAATAATCGGCATTGGCCCTGAAAAACACATTTCAGTCGATATCGTTTGTTCTGTCGCCACATTCGACAAATTCAGAATGTTTTTATTTACTTTTTTATTTGTGTTTTACTCTCTTTGATAATTCTGAATGGATCTGTATATAGTCAGGTTAAGGCGACTGTTATTGTGGTCTGTTGGCACCCCCGTGTGGCCCTGTTTGGTATTGCAGCTTGACTTGTTATTTAAACATGTATAAAAATTATATAAACAAATGTAAAAAAAATTCTCAGCTTTATACAAATTATGTAAATTTAAAAAATGTTTGAATATCTCGAAAAAAGCTTGCAGAAAATATAGTTTTGTGAGAATCATCCTCAAACTTAAACGTAAACTTGGTAAAATTATCTTTATTTAAAATGTTTCAAGTCTTAATATTTTTCCCTTTGTTATACTGGGATAAATCATACTGGGATGCATGCTAAAATTGTTGAATGTGGCACCGGCGTACCAAGAAAATGTATTTCCACCAGCCACCACTAGGGTTGCAAAGGGGTGGAAAATTTCCGGAAACTTTCCAAAAATTCCTGGAATATTCCCCAAAAAAATCCTGGAAAGTTTCCAAAATTTCTGGAATATTTCTGAAATTTCCTGGAAATTTTCCACCTTTTTGCAACCCTAGGATGCATGATGTAACCTTTTGCAGTTACACCGCCACTGATGTAACCTTTTATTTTACACGAGGGCCGTCATGTTGATGTCACGTAATCAGCTGAATACTACACACTCACCACAGCCCCACTTTCACTCGCCGAACAAATTAATCGTGTGGCTGACGGCAAATAAAGCATGGTAACTGAACACAGTTGCTTTTAAGTGATGCTGCATTGTGGCATAGGCTAGGTATCACAGACAATAATTTAGAAGGATCTCTCGTGCTCTTAAAAAGGAATAAAAATTTTAATTGTAACACTCCTTTAAGAGAGATGAGGATAATGGTCAACCGATACGAGTTTTAAAAATGTTGCTGCATTGAGGACGGCTGATATAATGCAGATTCATACGTAATACTGAATGACATCAAATGAAAATGTGCACATAATTGATTAACACTTATATAACAGAATATTTACTCAAGATTATAAGTTATTTACTATCCATTCACAAGATTTCAAGAACTGACACACTTGCTAACGCCGCTCGACCAATCAGATTCGAGGACCTAGTTGTTTAAAATAGTACATACTAGCTCAGTTTATTAATGGAATATAATGCATTGACCCATAAGTCACTAAAAACACCACTGAGCACGTTAAGATACAAACAGTATGTACGTCTGCAAGACGTCTGTTAAAGATCGCTTCGTCTGGAAAGCATCTGCTGTGTAGAAACATCTGATAGACGTCTGTCAGATGTTTGTTATTTAGAATGTTTGTAAAAACTGACATCTTGTAGACGTCTGTCAGATGTGTGTGATTTAGAATGTTTGTAAAAACTGACATCTTGTACACGTCTGTCAGATGTTTGTGATTTAGAATGTTTGTAAGAACTGACATCTTATAGACGTCTGTCAGATGTTTGTACACAGCAGATGCTTTCCAGACGAAGCGATCTTTAACAGACGTCTTGTAGACATATGTGTGCTATCTGGGTTTAAGATGTCAGTTTTACATAAACATCTTAAAGACATCTTCTAAACGTCTATTTGACATCTGATAGGAAACGTCCTATGGACGTATTGCAGATGAGCAAACACTCTAAAAACTAAGTCTTGCAGATGTAATGCAGACGTCAAACAGACGTCTCCGTGATGTGCGTGTGCTCTCAGGGAATCGGTATCGGTCTAAAGGTCGTTTTAAGAAAGCAACTTCACCTATCCAGCGTGGAGGTCGGGTGTCGAACACTCATGGCTGTGAGGTTTGTCCGATTACTAGCGTAGTGGTTTTTCTGTCAGTCTGAGATCATGTCATTAGTGTAGGGTTAGTCCTATTTCCTCTTCCCACTCCTTGAGGTGAGTTTTGTCCTTTCGCCGCTTCAGGGGTCAAAGTTCCTTTCGGGGAAACACAGTGATCCTCCTCACCAGCATCGTCCCATTGAATAAGCAAACTCCAAAAGTCCACATAAACCCAGTGAAACTCACTACTTAGTGTTTGGCAGCTTCAGAACAGCTAGACTCTCTCTCAGGGGAACATGCAGGATCAATACGCCACATTTCTGTTTGATCTCTGGAGCTCCGGAACAAAGATTCCTGCGGACTGAATCATCGTCCCACTTCAGGATCGCTTTAAAAACACGAACAGACTGCGGGGATGGCAACACAAGCAGTCCGAATGAGAAGAATCAGCTTTGCTGCCGTGCCCTGTGGCTTCACTGCAGTGTATTAGCGGTCGAGGTGATTCGGTGCTAGTGTTTTTAGCAAGGTTATTCTGGACTTTGGAGCTACTGATTTCAATGCAATGCAAGTGGAGCTTTTCAAACGCAAAGGCTGGGGAACATGACGCGAGCAGCCGCTTTACACACACAGTGGTGGGACGCAAATAAAGTGCACGCACTGATGAATAAGCAGCAAGGTTCCCAGCGGTGTGACAGTCAGATTACTGCAGCAGCTCGCACGCGCGCTCCGCTAAACACCCCCGCAAACCCACAGAATCCCGTGCTTTTAGCGAAAAAAATCCGCCGGTCGAGCTCCGCTGCACGCGAGGCCCGCACGGCGTGCATCCCCGCCGCCGCGTACTGACGCACAACGCGACTCCGACGGCCGCGGCCGTTCACCTTCACGCGCGCGCGGTAGAACGCTATCTTCTGCACGCGTGGCGCGACACACCCGCCTCGGAACGCTCTCGTTTCGCGGCGCAGTTATTGGCCGGGTTTCGGCGACTCGCACACGCTCGTTTGGCGGCCAGCGACATTCATTTGATCCGCAGCCACTTGGATCCCTGCCACTCGCGTCTCTCGCGTCCGTCTCTCGCTGTATGCACGTTTAGCGTCGAGTTCCTCTCATTGCTTCCCAAAGATGTGTGCTCTGTTTGTCTTCATTGGTGGTGTAATCCCAGTGCGCGAGCGTTCGCCATTCCGGAATAACACCATCATCCTGGGTTAGTGCTCGGCTGGAAACAGACTCGCGCTCGTCCTCTAGCGGCTGGATTGTGGTGCTGCAGGTCAAACCGGAGAAACAAGGCCAGGTTTAGTGCATGATCAGTGACTGATTACATGCGATCTGGATTACGTCCGATTCCAAAAATTCAGTACATTTTAAAATATTCGGAATCGGGCTGCCCTGATAGCACACGTGCATCACATTTAATTTTAATTAACATTTTTATGATTTAATTAATTATTAGTTTTTCATTAAACTCACGAACCCCCTGCAGTTCCTTTACAAACCACAACATTGACGTAATGTTTAATGCACTTCACGTTGTTAATAACAACAAATGGAATATCTTTTCTTTTCCTTTGCATTTGTATATCAGTATGGCGCAATATTATACTATTTAAATCAATGTCATAAGCAAGTTAGGTCAAAAGTAATCTAAAAGTAATCAAAAAGTCTGATTATATTACCTAAAATGTGTAATGTAATGGATTAAGTTACGCTTTTTGGTCATGAACTTTGGAATTAGTAATTAACTAAAACCAAAACTCTAAAAAAGTTTCTTACAAAATCAAATAAATCTCAACTGATAGAAAATAAAATATAAAAAATATATGATTTTATTTCAGTTAGTTTCCAAGGCAACATTTCTAATTTTAATGTAGTTCTAAAAACAACAAAAACTAATAACAATAATGACAAAAACGTGACAAAATTACCAACTAAAATGAACATGAAAGCAGAAAAAAAATCTAATTAAAAATATGGACAAAAAAACAATATTAGTAGGCTCCGTGATAGTGAAAGCACGTCTTGCGAGATATATATTTGCATTAATGTTGTACATGGTTTAATAAAAAAAAAAAAACTTGACTTTTTGCATTTTTTTTCATTAAAACAGTGATGTCGCCTATACTTTGGCTCTGTGTTTGTAATTATCACAATAACAAAATAATGACAAGTCAAATCAATGTTTTCTATTCCACACTAATGTAACCATTCAGTAACCCTTGACTCAGAAGACATATTGACTATACAAACAGGATGTATTCTGTTCGTTGTTGAAGTCTGTCTGTGGTTTTTACAGATTTTAAAGATGGCATAGAACCTGCAAATCAAGAGTGACTGATCGTGTTAAACCAGAGATTACAGGGACGTTGCAGTTCTACCTATTCACAGGATTATTAACACTATTTCAATCTCAATCGACACCGCTCCCTGGTGGTCTAGTGGTTAGGATTCGGCGCTCTCACCGCCGCGGCCCGGGTTCGATTCCCGGTCAGGGAACAGTTGCTTTTTTACCATATCTTATATCATTAGATTGTCTAACTGCACTTTTTATCCCCTCATTCTCATTATATGCCAGTGCACAGTCCTATTATTGAAGTTGTTTTGCTCCATACCCTTAATATAATTACTTAAGATAATATGCAGCGGTCAGCCTCAGTCACGCCTAGCCTGGTCGTGTTTATCACATAGAGAGAACTAATAATGCTACAGTTAGCCAGTTAGTGAATTCCACTCAAAAGAAGAAAAAAATGCCATGATTCATATACAAAATTGTATCAAAAGAAATAAAGATACGATAAGAAATACGTTTTCCCCTGTTTGTAAAAAAAGGGAAAATGTCACAATGCAATGCAAACAACCAACATCTAATTTTCGCATACAAACCCTTCTCTAGACTGTATGGAGAGGTCAGATGGTGAGAGAAAGGCAGTCTCTAATTCTGAAGGAAACGGGCGTGGAGGACTGAAGTGAGTCCCTTTAAGGATGAGAACATCTGGGCGTCACAGGAGAGGGGCTCGGT